TTAGTTATTTATATGAGGGATGTTTTGAGAGCTATATATTTTATTCAATTGATCTGTTAATACTTATCCAAATACAGTATGCTTTTATTTAATTGTTTAAAATATTTTTATTGTCTAAAGTCTTACATATGTCTCCTATTCTCCCAATTGACCCCTCCCCGCAGCCATTCCCACCCCAGGCAAGCCCTCACAGTATGCTTTTAAATATTTTCACTTTACAAAGCTTTTGAAGTAAATCCCTTTTTATTTGATTGGCTTTCAAGGCTTTCTCAGCCATTCTTGACTGCTTCTAGATGAACCTTGGAATTATTTCATCAAATTTCCAATTATTAACCTGGAAAAAATCCACATCTCTATGTTGCCAGTCTTCCCGGAAGGAACAGCAGATGTCTCTTCCTTTACTTTTATTTTTTTCCCAGTCAACAATGTGCAACTTTCTTCCCAGGGGCCCTGTGTCTATCTTATTAGGTCAATCCTAGGTATTTTATATTTTATATTTTGGTAAAGGGAACTTTTCTTTCCCTATTATCCCTTCTACCAGGGCATTGTGGGCTCAGACAGAAATTACTAATTTTTGTATAATTGTGTTATATTTGGCCATGCCATGAAAATCCTTTATTAACTCTAAAAACTTTACATTGGATTCTTTTGGGTTTTTCAGGCACATAATTTATCAGCAAATAATTGTAATTTTACCTGCTCTTTTCCAACGTTGGTTTCATGTATTCTGACATTGTCTAGAATTTCTAGAACATCAGGAACAAAGTTATGTATCTCTTTATTGCTGCCAGTTTTACTGTGACTGCTTCAAGGACGGCGTTTCTCAAAGCAAGTTGTGTAGAAAGCTGATTAACTGAGAGAAAGGGTTCTGTTGAGAAATAGGTTTGAGAAACTGTGTGCTGATCCAGCTCTTGGAGCTTCACTGTGCACATTTCCATAGTGAAGTCTCTGAGGAATTTTGCTGTCAGGAATACCTGTTTTACTTTGTTTTGCAAACATTTTTTCAGACGTAAGCAATTGATCATGGAACCCCTCGATTTCCTGTGTTAATACCTGTGAACATCTTAAGAATGAGCTATGCAGACACTTTCAGAGACATTTGATTCTTTTTCTACCTTTAAACATGCTGTTTGTCATGTTCCCATCTGTTCCCATCTGTGCACAACCTCCCCTAATGGGCTTCCTAGTGACTAGTTTTCAGATTTTTAAAAAATCAAGAGATACCTTCTCATCTCCTATGGAGCATTCAGGCCCTTTGCTCTGCCGGTGCCTTCTGTGCCCAGGGCTTTCTCAGACTCCCCCAACTTGGCATGCTTCCCTGCACTGCTCCAATGCCTTCGAAAACCGCGCTCCCCTCTGACACAGGGCTGTGGACCCCTCTGTCAGCCTCTCCCAAGCCATCCCCACTGGACTCATCGGCTTCTTCCCCACACCCTGTTTCTCATGGTCTGCATCGCCATCTACCTGGTGGCCCAAGGCAGAGACTCAGAGCTTCTCCACTTTCATCCACTTAGCACCCACACTTTCCTGGTTTTCCCCTCAAGTTCTCTTTAATCTGCCCTCCTTTCTCCATCCCTGTGGCCATGGCCCCAGCACAGCCCTCCACAGTCCTCCCTTCAACGGTGCCCATACTCTCCTAAGCCATAGCCCCCCACCTGCCCATTCTGAACACAGGAGAAATGCATATAAGGGTACATATATTTTTACAAATTAGTGGTTTTTGTCTCCCCTCAGCCCCAACTTCCCCTGCCAATAAATACGCAGAAGTGGGATTGCTGAGTCATATAGTAATTCTATTTTTTAGTTTTTTGAGGAATTTCCCTCCTGTTTTCCACAGTGGTTGCACCAGTCTACAGTCCTACAGCAGTGCACAGGGGCTCCTTTTCTCCACATCCTCACCATACTATATTAAGTGAGATAAGTCAGACAGGGAAGGACAGTGTATGGAATATAAAAAACAACAAAAACCCAAACCAAACAAAAAGAGACTCACACAGAGACCAAAGGGAGATTACCAGAAGGGAGATGTTAAAATAGCGAGGCTTTGTTCAGTTGAGTGACCAATACTGTGAAGGACTCAGACACTTATCAAGCCGAATAAGAGCCAACACGATGCCAGCATGGTAAGCAAGGAGCCTTGCCCAATTCCCAGGTTCTCTTTTAAATCAACATGGGAGCCACCTGGGAAACACCATCTGCCACCGGTGCCCACACCAATGAATGCTTCTTCTTCCCTTTCTACTCCCAAGTGTCCCATTGTCTCCAATGTTAGAAAGAGACAGGGAGTGGATAGAACTGTGCCCATTCTAAAAGCCTGAGAATTCTTCAGACACAGGAGGGTCCTTGGGGAAGGGCCCCAGGCTGGGGCTGGAAGGGAAGAAAGGACCAGATCTGGGGAGAGGGAGGAACCGGGGGAAGAGGGAACGTGTTGATGGCTACTCCACTAGGGACAAGGGAGAGTCCAGAAGGACATTCCAAAGACCCCTGCCTGAGAATGGAGGCTGGGCGGGACTGCCAGGCATGGGCCTCCCCAGGCTTCCCTTCCCTGAGACCACAGTGTGTCTGGAATGCACGGCCATCAGCCTGCATACCAGGCCGAGTACCTCTCACAGCTCCCCTGGCCAGTCAGTTGGTGAAGGAAGGTGTGCACAACGCCCCCAACTAGTCCCTCTGGGCTTCATAGTGACCAGGTGGGAGAAGGGCCAGGTGGGGCTCTCCCAGAGCTGCCAGTCCCCACAGCTCCCGTGCTTCCTCTTCGGCCCACAGAAGCACCCAGGTGCAGGTTACATGGTAACACACCCGCTTAGCTTGGCTTCCTCTCTTTTGTTTCTAGGTTTGCCTTTTACAAGGCTTGTTTCGTGTTTGATTCTATCACTTCTTTCTGTTTCTAATTTATTGATATCTGATTTTTCTGAATGATGTCTTTGGTTTTGCTTTCTTTAGGTTGTGGTTTGGGTTGTTCACATGTGTTCAAACTAACCTCACATTCCTTCTCTCCTGTTCATCTTGGAAAGCACCTACGCAGCGGCCTGCGATCTGCAGTGCACTGTTCGCCTTCTTTCTCCAAATGCTCTCATTCTTCTTCCTAAGACCTGGTTTTGGTTTTCAAAGTAGTTGGATCTTCCATTTATGCACCCTTCTTCTTCCTCACTTTAGGGCACTGAGTCAGAGGCTGGGCAGTTTTTTGCTGTATAAAAGTTGCTGAATTTTTTTTTATGACATAAATGCTTTTTTAATTTTTAAGTGTTCCATGATCCCTCAAAAAGAAAGCACAGCTTCTTTCTGTACGGCAATGGTTCTCAACCTTTCTAATGCCTTGACCCTTTAATATAGTTCCTCATGTTGTGGTGACCCTCAACCATAAAATTATTTTCGTTGCTACTTCATAACTGTAATTTTGCTACTGTTAATGAATCATAATGTAAACATCTGTGTTTCCCGATGGTCTTAGGCTCTACAGCAGTGGTTCTAAACCTGTGGGTCTTGAAAGTGTAGGGCAAGGGAAAATTATATAACTACGAATTAAACTTAATTCATTATATCACTTGAAATTTTCATGCTTATTAAAATGTAATGCATTAAAGGTCCTGATAAGGCATGAGAGATGACTGCAGGTAGGTTTTCACCAATCTCCTTGTTTCGATGGATGCTCTGGCAGATTCTATGCTCTCCGTGTGTCTGTGGCTGGTGCCCTTGCTGTGGCTACTTCCCTCATTTTAGAGAAACATGCTTCCCAGGGTAAGGAGGGTGGGTTCCAGTGCCCTATTTCTGGATTTCACTGCCCCAAATGAGCCCTTCATTGACATTTTGATACTGCACACCTTGTAAGTTGTGTGCAGTGGAATTTTATTTTTTGAGGCAGAGACTGTTTTCAAGTGGAGGAGTTAACAACCCTTTACCCAATGACTACGCCTGAGGGGTTTGATCTTACCACAGTTTGATTTTTAGCACACTGAGTAAGGTTGGCTAGGGACTCCAGAATTCAGTTGCCAGAGTCAGAAGCCCAACTTCCCAGGAGTCCAATGCCTTTGGCCACTCGCCGTCACATCACTGTACTGCATTGAGCCTCAGTGTGCCTCTCTGTGAAATGGGGACCACCACAGCTCCCCCCCCCCCCCATCTGTCCTGGCCTTGGGTTAATGTATAGAAAGTGCTTCTAAGCTGCCTGGTGCAGGCTCTTGCTCAGTCCCAGCTGGCAGGCACTACTGGCATTCTTTCCTCACATCTCTCCTTATCTTCCATCTCAGCTATCTGGGGCGGGCTCTCTCTTCCAATGCACAAAACATGAATAGACCAACGCATGTTGCTGGGAAAGGTAGATCCAAGTTTTACGTGAGAGGAGGTAGGGAGGGCAGGACAGCCCTGTTGGGCAGTATGAGAAGAGGAGGGCACATGTTGAAGATGTGGGCAGGCGTCAACATGAACGGTGTGTTAACTGTGTTCCTGATGCCCTGATATCTGGGGACTTGCAGACCAAGCAAGCAATCCAGAGTCCAGCCAAGCACCTCCTCCTCAGGGTCTCACTCTGGGCCACTATCCCTGGCCCCGATCAACCCAGGGTGAGGCACCACACAACTAGAAACAGCCCTAAACCTGCTGAAATGATCCACACGTCAATCCTGCTCCTACTTACCGTGCCTCACCCATTCCTTCCTGCAGAAACAAACCAGTGAAGGCTATCACCCATGTTTTCTCCTCTCTCATCTACCTCCGGATCGACCCAGGTGTTTCCCTCTGTGGCCCTGTGTGGCGGGATCTGTGGGCAATAAACCATCTTTTCCATGGCAGTCACCACACCAGAATAATAACAAAACCTACATCTGAAAATGAGGGGTGACAATGGGATGGCTCGCAAGCTCCTTGTGTCTTACAGAAAGTCCAGGGCAGCCAGGAGAGGCAGACTTGTTGGGCAGACATAGACACTTTTAGAGAAGCTTGTGTCTCACTGGGGGGCCCACCATCCCCCAGCACACGGGGCACTGGCCTGGGTGCTCACTCACCTTCCCGTAGCTGAGCAGGATGATCCGCACCAGGACCACATTGATGTGGGCCCCCAAGGACTCGTCATGGTAGATCTCATTGACCTGAAAGACAACCAGGGAGATGTCGACAGCAGGAATCTCAGGCCCAAGGACAAGTCCTGGCTTTGCAAATGACATCACCACCCACCAGCCCCCAGGCCAGAACATGTGAACCCCCCCCAGTTTACACCCCAGCATCACCTCAACCTTAAATCCAAACCTTCCTTCCTTCTGTGCCACCTGCCTTGCAGCCACCATCCCTACCTGGGTTGTGGCCACCCCCTCCTCAGTGCTCCCTCCTGCCAGCACGGGCATTCTCCACCTGGAGCCTGAACTTGGGCACAAGCCCCTCTATTTGCACTAGCCTCTAACTGCATGTGGCCTTCCCTTCAAGGGTGACCACAGGCTGCAAACTCCAGGGGCGTGGACAGTGCCAGGACTGTCACCAGTAGAAATCGCTCCACAGTGGCTGGTGCCGGTTATGAAGTTCTCCGTGTTCATCACTATTTGGAAGGGGGTCAGTGTAGACCACCCCCTGATCTTATTTAAGGCGTTGCTAAAGAACAAAGGAGCTTTATGGCCACAGTTAGCTAAATAGTAATAAGAAGGAAGAGAGCAAGGGAAGTCAGCCACTATTAAGAACAGTCAGCAGGGGACACGGAGCCTGTCAGCTTCACCAGGAAGCAGGGGATCCCAGCATTGCCCCCCAAGGATTATCACCCCCCTTTCCCTCTCCTGGTATTAGTACTGGATTGTCTGGGAAGCAAAAGGAGATAAGGACATTTGCAAGAGAAGTCAGAAGGGGCAGGGGGAGGAACCTGACCCAGAGGACTGTCAGTCTAACCTGGGAAAGGGCTCATTGACTTGGGGGTAGACCCATCAGAAGTCTGAGAAAGCTTGGGAAGTTGATTGGTTATTTTGAAAAAGCTCCTGCTTCTGTGAATATATACTCTCCGGTGAAGAATCTCTCTCTCTCCCTCCCTTCCTTCCTCTCACTCTTTACGACTGACACTTTGCCCCTTTCATTCGTTCTCTCCCTCCAGGAACATGCAACCATGCAGTTCTAGTGGCCACTTGGGACCCATAGAAGACTGTGCAGGCTCCGGAGGAACATGAAGCAGAAACACCGGCCTTTGCCTTGCTGAAGATGAGATTGGAGCAGAGGGGGATGGGATATTGAAAATCCAGTGGATGAAATGGGGCCACATGCTAGCCTGACTAGCTCAGGGAAGGCCTGCGTGGCAGCCTTGCAAACTCAGAGACCTAAAGTCACCACAAAGGATGGTCTGAAATTAAAACATTAACTAAAAGTAGTTTATGGTGTGTAGTCACATCCTAGGCTGGCATCTTCCCTGATAAAGGTCAGTCTTTACCTTTACTGAGCCTCTCTATTGCCTTTTTGCATCTATGATAACGTATCCTTGGAATGTCAAAGTCATTTTCCTCTTTCTAGAACCTTCAAAGCACAAGCACCGCTCTGCAGAGACCACCCATTCCCTCATTGTCACTGAGGGAACCGCTGACTGTTAACTATCCTGCACCCACCTAAATGAAAAAACATGTGTCTATAATTTTACTTTTTATCCAAGTCTAGGGGTTTTCCCACTTTGTTTTCTCCAAGGAATTTCATTTAACCCACTTACGTCTCCTCTTTTGATTGTATGTATAAACCAAGGTGCAAAACTGCCATTCTCCTGAGCATTATCTCAATCCGTCAAGGGTCTGTTTCCCAGCAATTGTGGGCAGTATGGCTCAAATAAACTTACAAAAATTCTTCGCAGGTTTGAATGTTTCTTCCATTAACACCAGGAAGGGGACTCCTTTGGTTTGCATCACCAATAAACCCAGCCACACCGCAATCACCTGTGCATGGATCCTTGCAACGCTTTTCTCGTGATCCGGGGAAGAGCCTGATTCCCACCACCACTTTCCCTGCTCTGTTTTGATACCAATGGCTCATATCATTGGCTTCCTTTGTATTTTATCACTGGTTTAAATACGTGTTTTATCTTTTGCACTCAAAAATATTATTCCAAGCAGGCACCCATGGGCTTCACCAGATGGCGCAAGAAAGGTGAGGGGACCCCACTCCCCACAGCACAGCGAGTACGGCCTTCTGAAAATGCTGGTCGGGTTATCCCAGGTTCAGAGCTGACAGAGCCTTCCTTCCCCTTGGTCCCACCCCACCCTCTCCATATTCTGCCTGAATTAGCCCCTCACTGCCACCTCTTGCTGGCCGAGCAAACCCTCTCCTCCTGGCAGCCCAACCTCTGGTCACTTGCTCCGGAAGGGCCTCCCCAGGTCTGATCTGCCCCTCAGCAAGCCCCCGTGTCCATGACTTCTCGAACTCTGTGTCCCCCGCAGCTGTGAGCGGCACAGGAACCTTTATTCCCCCTGCCCGACCCCAGCAGCACACAGCAGGTGCTCAGAACCCTGAAGGAGTCGATCCCCTCAGGCTGTCACCTGGCCGAACACCCCTCCCTGTGTGACGCCAAGCCCAGGGGCTGCTGATGGCGCTCTGTGAGGGCAGAGCCGCTCCCCGTCTGAGGCCAGCACTGTACTGGCTCTGAACCCCAACTTTTACAGCCTCTATCTGAACAATGACAATTGCTACCTGTAAGAGTAGAAAAACCCTTTGGGAAATCTGAGAGTTAACAAGGAAAATCAAATACTAGTGGATCAAATACTTTCCTTTAGGGAAAGGACAGCCGATAGACCTGCAGGAGACTATATGTCACCTGCACATGAGTCTGGAGAGGGTGGCTCGGTAGGTGGAGCCCCGGAGGCTCTGCCAACTCACCCACACTTTGCCATCACCTCTGTAAAACTGGGGTAAAAAGTCCCTCCCTCCCAGAGCTTCTGAGGACTACATTCCCACACCCGAGAGAAGAAATGATGGTGAAAATGGAAAACGGCTGTATTTGTCACTGCCGGTAGCTCATACTGCGCGGCAGGACTCCCGAGCTTCAGGGGCAGAGTGCACAGCCCTGAAACACAGACATCCTTGCCCAGCTTCGAGGGCCAAACTAGATATGAATTTCAGTTCACAGAAAGACAAGAGCTCTAAAAGCCAAGTCTTTTTTTTTTTTTTTAAGAGAGGAAGTGGTTTTTCTTCTTTAAAGCAGTTGCTTTATCCATCACCAGCAAAACTGGCCAATTTGGCTCCTGAAGTTAGACTGAGAGGCGTGGTGTAAAAATATAGAAGGCAGTGACACAGGGAGGTCTCTCTGCAGCTGGAGGGACAGGAAGGGGCAGGGGTAGGGAGAGGCCAGGATGACATAAAAACAGCCTTGATACTTGAAATGATAGGAGGAAGAGCTTGAACCCTGTCCCTGCCTGCTGCTGGAATCTGGGGGACGGGTTCAAATTTTGGGGTGGCTTCAGAGAGCAGAAATGAGTCATGAGCCACTTCAGCGGCAAGAAGCCTGCAAGGGCAGCCAAGCTCCCAGATATGTTTGGGGATCCAGAGACAGTGAGCAGGACAGCTGGGGGACACAGGTAGGCCTCAGAGAGAGCCCAGGCTGCTGGCCTGCAAGAGTGGAGGATAGACCTCCTTGGAGAGAGAGATAAACCCTGAGGTGTGAGGCCTGGAAGGCCACTGCTCAGAGCAGAGCATGCTGGGACAGATGTGTGCAGATGCAGGGCAACCGTGCCATGCACATACACCTGCTCAGAGGGAGGAGAGACAAGTGACGAACTCATAGGTTGAAACCCCAACCCCCAATGTAATGGTGTGAGGAAGTGAGGCCTTTGGGAGGTGACTAGGATTAAATGAGGCCATGAGTGGGGACACCTATGATGGGACTTCGGCAGTGAAAATGGGGCTCTTTCATGGGTTTGCAGGGAAAGCACTCCGGGAGAACCACGTCTAGGAGGTTGAGGCTTCGTGGGGAGACTTATTGTAGAAGCAAAATCAAATGACTGCCCCTGGGTTCCCAATGTCCCATCCCCGTCTGCCCGCCAGGGAAAAAGTCCAATCTTGTCTTCGTCAGCCCCATAAATAGGGCCAGTGCTCAGAGACTTTTGTGCCGTTTGTTCAGTGCATGTCTGTCCCCATTGGGCTTGCATAGTCTGCTTTCGGTTGTGAGCCCCCCATGGGGCCACAGGCCTCAGGCGGCTGCTAGGGCCTCATGGTGCTCTGCAGAAAGAACATGCTAATGAATGGGGCACACATGTATTGAGAAAGAGAGAGAGAGAGAGAGAGAGAGAGAGAGAGAGAGAGAGAGAGAGAGAGAGAGAGAGAGAGAGAATCATTCTTTATTAGGCTGATTATATCATCTCAGACCTGGGTAGGACCAGTCCCTTTTTAAAAATATCCAATCAACTTGCCAAGCTTTTGCAGGCTTGCACTGGGCCTTCCCTCTAACAAAGCCATTTCCCAGATCTTCCAAGGTTCTGCGTCCCTTGTCCAATTTGATCCCTTTCCCAGGCTAGACTGATAGGCCTTTATGGTCGTCATCTTGGTTTCTACGGTACCACACACATGCCTCATAGTAGAAGCACCTCCCCCTGTGCCATCTTGACTTCTACCGGGCATGTGTCCAGCAGAGGAATTTCTCCTGCTGTTTTTCCTTCCTTCCTTGGTAATCTGGGACATAGAGGTCCCCTGAGAAGTCTGTGAAGCTGTAGTTTCCTGGTGGAGCAAGCAGGGTCAGTATCCCACTTAGCTCTCCAGTTTATTAGGCTTAACACTGTCAGATTCCCTTTGCTTCCTTTCTTTATTAATATTTAATTACCTACGCTAACAGGATTAGTGCCATAAGAAGAGATGCTAGAAAGCTGTCTCTCTTCCTTTTTTTCCTCTCTTTCTGCAATGTCTGCAAGCCAGGAGAGAGCTCTCACCAGGAACTGAATTAGCTGGCTTCCAGCCTCCAAACTGTATGATGTAACTGGGGCTGGTTAAGCCATTCAGTCCCTGGTATTTTGTTACAGTGGTCAGAGCTGACTATGACAAGCACAGAGTGGAACCTTAATTTGTGATCTGAGTCATACCCCGAACAGCTTTTAAATGGGAAAAGCCTAAGCCATCTCCCATGGGCCGGGTTACACTTTTCTTTCTATCC